AACACCAGATACAGCACTGGGACTTGATCAACAGCCGATACCGCACCGTGACGTCACAAACCAGTAGGTGGCAGTAGTGTTCTTTGATAAACATGGATGCCTCCAGCAAAGCACATTCAGATTAAAATTACTCTGAATTAAAAACAGTGATAATTTATTGAACAGGATGGAATAATTTTATATTTAAAGTACTTTCAGAACCTTTAAAAAATGTCATCACCTGGCCAAGATTTTGAGCAGTAAAAACATTCATAGACTTGAAACCATTTAAACTCCACAGTCACAGACTGCAGGAAAACTGGACTACATAAAAATACAGACGGTGTTGAACAAGACACTGGCTATTACAGTAAACTGAAACCAAAAAACAATTTAAACTCGTTTTCCATCAAAATCGACTGACCTGCAGTTAATCTACTCATTCTGTATACCATGAATCGACGAGGATGTCCTCAATCATGGACGCCATGATCAGGGCTGGCAGTTAGGATGGTCCATATTCAGAGCAGAGCTTGAAGGCCAGCAGTGGAGGCATGAAATCTACACTTCTTTTTTATTGTACCACATTTAATCATGGTGGCGCCCGTAACATTCAGGAAGTTTGCGGAGAGTCAGGAGAAGAAGGCAGCCTTTAGTGAATTTACTTGACAGAGTCGGCTTTTGTGACATGGATACGACAAACGATAGTCTAATCAGGGCTTCCAGACACAGGAAACGACAGACGTTGAGGTTCATCTCACTGCTAAGCAGAATCATCACTGGAAATTGCGCAGAACGGTAGGGAAGCTAGGATTTTTAGGAATGTCTGAAGTTTCCTGATTACGGAGGCTGACTGTAAGGAGATGCTGCTCAGAGATTTAAACCAGAACTGAACCGCGCCGAGCCCTGCTGATGAACTAGTACCATGGTAGGTTGCGTCTGGCACGGTCCGGTTCAATTCTGTCTACCATTCCAACTGTTACCTCTGTTACCATGCTCGGACCGATCTTGGCACCGTTTCAAATGGGTAATAGAAATGGGACTAATATCGCATGGGTCTGCTTTACTGTCAGTTTGCTTATTGTACAAATATTGAGTTTTAAAGAAACTCAGACCTGACTGGACGATGATCTTTTGTGTCACCCAAGTCTCATGTTTCTGTTCTTTTTAACAATATCCAACTATAATGATTGATGTTTTTCTTGTTTCTAACTTGTTTCCTGACCCCTGAAGGTGGAGAACCCGTCTTGCCTCTGGGGTCGGGTTTTTGGCGGAAGTGGAGAAACCACAGAGGATTATGCTGATCTCCAGACACAGATGAACCTCTTCTACCATGATGTCACTCAGGACCTTCACAGCCTGAAACCTGCATCATTTGAAGAAGGACAGGTATTGGTTGCCCATGAGAGTCGTGATATTTAGATGCTGTCCTTTGGGGGTGGATGATGTGTCACTTATCTATGGGTCTGCTGAGCTCAAATGTGAGTCAGGTGTGCTGAAGGCATCTAAAGGCGGGTGGACATCAGTCCTGCTGGAATAGAGTTTGTAATCACTCATTCAGTGGTTTAACAAGATTTTATATTTTTAATTCTAGTTTTTGTTAAATTTTGAAGAACATTAAAACACCTCCGGGCATACGCTACAACATTTCCAATCGTTGCACATAGCTACGCTGAAACTGTACGACGAAACCGCAGGGTTTAAAAGTTGACAGCTCTCGATGTTTGTTCTCGCACTGTGCGACCCGACGCTCTGATGCGATCTAACCGCTCACACTGTACGTCCAGAAACCACCTGTCGGACTCGGTACCAAGAGATGGCGATGGTCGGACTGGATCTGTAAGAAGATGAAGAACTCCTTTATTTGCACATGCGCAGTGCTCGAGGTTCTGATAAATCGGCTCGTAGCTCTGCTTCAACAGCAGGATTTGTCCAACACCTCATGACGGCCGACTGAATTTCCAACATGTTTGATTTTCTCCTGACCTTACGATTCCTGACCAGGAGGCGGTTGTTAGAGGCTAAACGCCCCTGGTTATACCACGCGACGCACGATGAGGCTGAAACTTGGATGAACGGACTGGACCAAAGTAGGGGTGTAAATCACACCCATCATGGCGATTTGATTCAGTATCGATTTCCTGACCCAACGATTTGATTGTTTTTCGATACTCAAGAATACACCACGATACGATTCGATTAATTGGTTCTTTTTTACCTTACAGGCTAGATGATGTTTCAAATTTGAAATAAAAAACTGAAAGCTGTAATATCGTTATGCATTTTTTTTTTTGAGAAACAACAGCAAATAACAGAAATAGAAAAGTTGTCCCCCACCTATTCCAATTAAAACCTCATTCAC